GGTTTTTGCTCTGCGGTGGGCTGGCACATTCTTGAAGCCCTGATCTCTAAGCCACTCTGTTCTGTTTGGGGTCCACTCCTAATTTAAGGCAGAGCTGGTTGTCTCTGTTCCCATCTTCTCAGAGAAAGTATTTGGTTCCAGGTCAGAGCTGTTTTCCTTGCAGCCAATATAAAGCCTTTGAGGAGCATCATGTCTGCCTCTTACTTATTAACACATTGAGGAATATCTGGATATGGAGCTTTAGGAAAGGATGAGACCGGCGTCTCAACTACAATACACTTTTCTACAAATATTGCTGAATTGGAGTTAAAATGTTAGTTAATATGAAAATGGAATTACTTTGGACTGAGGCTGCTGCTTCCTCTGTGTGCTCAGTGGAGCCTGCTGTGGAAGAAAAATCAGACAAAATGCTCTCTATTAAAGCCTCTATTTTAAGAAGAATGATTCAGAGAGTAACCCAGGTCCAAGAAATTTTCATCAACAAATAAAAACTGAATTGCCAGGTTTGCCAGATGTCTCATTTTAAAGAAAAATTTCCTCATTTGATCTCTTGTAAAAGTCTTCCTTCTGGGGCTTCCCTGGTGGCGCAGTGGTTAAGAATCCACCTGCCAATGCAGGGGACATGGGTCCCGTGCACCACAACTACTGAGCCTGCGCTCTACAGCCCGCGAGCCACAGCTCCTGAGCCCGCGTGCCACAACTACTGCAGCCTGCATGCCTAGAGCCCATGCTCTGCAACAAGAGAAGCCACCGCAATGAGAAGCCTGCAAACTGCAACGAAGAGTAGCGCCCGCTCGCTGCATCTAGAGAAAGTCTGCATGCAGCAACAAAGACCCAACACAGCCAAAAAAAAAAAAAAAACTCTTCCTTCTGACCCTGAAATATGCTCTGCCCCCATGTAACTTAAAAATAAAAAAGTTTCAGCGTGTTCCCCATCCCATCTGCGTAGGGCTTATAATTCTACATGGTTCAGCTGGGAATTGATTGCATAAACATAAAGGCAAAAAATACCACATTATTGGACTACAGAGTTTGCGGAAATTTTCTTAAATTGTCAAGTATACTCCATCTTGGTCTTTGACTCACCAGTTATTGAGTACCTGCTGTGAACAAGCACTGCTCTGTGTTGGCTCAGGCAGAGGCAACCTCCCTGCTGCCTGCAGTGTGATCATCCCTTATTAAAGGTGTGCCCCCCAGCCCTCCTGCATTACCTGGAGTAATAGGGTTAAATGGCTAATAATTAAGCGGGGGTGGGGGTGGCCTCTCCCTTTATAGTTAGAGACACAGGTTCTTCTAATTGGTGTCTAATTGGCGCGGGGGAAGGGCAACATAAAACCCTCCTTTGTTTGGTCCACCACTAAACCTTGCCCTGTGGGCCTTCCAGGTGTCCTATCCTGTGTACTCTGGTAGAGAAGCTGGAGAGAAGCTGGGGGCTTAAGGGGCTGCCCCAGCAGCCTGCTAGCCTGCCTGCAGCTTTCCTGCTGCCCCAGCTGCTGGCCAGAGCTGCTGGAGACGGAGAACTGGGAGCTGGCCCATGGCTGAGTGCCTTTTCCTGTGTGGTTTGTGGAGAGGTGGGTTTCACTCAGGTACATTGAGATGTCAGTGATGGATTGTTGATTTTTTTGTTTTTGCACCTTTTCGTTTATGGGACCTCTTCTCTTCTCATCCAGCCAAGCTCCCTTTCCCCCTGCCCCGTGTTCCAAATTACCTATCAGAATTCCTGTAACCACTGTGTAGCTAGATTCAACCTGATGTTAGAAAGTCAGTTTTTGTAAGAGGATTCACAGTGAAGTGCAAATGAAGTGGCCATCTGCCCTGTCTCACTCTGCTTGTCTGTTCAACTAACCAACAAATGCGACGGTGTCTTGTAGGTAAAGATCTTTTTTTGAGTCAAGGGTCTTTGTCTTCTTCCAGCTGGCTAGAGGAGAAGGGACATCATGTCCCTAGAGAATCCACTGCTGACTTCCCTGTCCTCCCCCCTTGCTCTCTGGCTTCTTTTCCAAACCTCAGGCCAGGAGGCCCCTGGCCCAGCTTGGCCCCATCTCCCCACCTCCCCACCCCTGGCTGCTCTGCTTAGGGAATTCGAGGTGTTTCTGCTCTGGCCAGGGTCACAGCAGTTTTTGAGGGTGGAGCTGTGGGTGGGAGCTGATAAGCAACTTCCAGAACTCCCGGACTGGACAATCCCTGGAGAGAGGAGGAGGCTGTCTCTTGTTATCAACTCCCTCCCCCACCTGGGAGCACCTATTTTTTCCCCCTCAGTTTTGCTGCCTCAGGCTCACTCCAGAAATATTTTTCCTGTTTCTCATTCCACTGTCTCTGCTCTGTCCCTAGAACCTGCCCCACTTGTTCCTTCCAGAGACTGAGTTTAGCCATCGTCGTTGAAATCAAAGCCTTGAGTTTGTGGGTGTGGAACACCTTCTGGTTGAGAGTCAGAGGGTGTTGAATTCTCTGCCAATGTGGATCGGGATTGGTGATGCCATTTGAAGGCAGGAGGGACTTGGGAGAGGCAAGGTGCTCAGTGTTTAGGAGCATAGGTTTTGGAGCTAGTTGACCTGGGTTCAAAGCCAGCTTTCTCTTTAGCGGTAATTTATTTAAACTCTTTGTACCTCAGTTTTCTAACTTCCAAAATGGGAATAATAACAATAGTACCTTGCACCTCAGAGGGCCTTTGTGAGGATAACACGTTTTGCACAGCACCTGGAACATGGTATGTGCTTATTAAACGAGAGCTTTGTAACTGTCGTATAAGGTGAAGCTATGGGGCTGATAACATGGGCGCCAACAAGTTCATCCCCAATGCGCCTCTGTGCTTTCTGTGTAGAAAATCACAGTGAGGAGAAGAAGGCAGCAAAAGGTATCTCTGGATCAGTTTCACAAAAAGCCTTCACATTTATTAGCACATCGTCTCAAGGTCTCCTTAAAGATGGCTACTAAGTCTGTTTACTGAATTTTATAGTCTCATTAAAAGTATCCTGTTGCCTTCTGATTTATTGAAGGAAAAAGTTGACTGCAAGCATGAAAAAAACATTTTTTTTTTACAGAAAACCATGTAACTATAACATATTAAATGTGAATTGGGCAAGTTACTGTTACATTTTGAATTTTATATACTCCTTAAAAAACTTGATCCTGAATGAGTATCAATTATGATTGGTGAACTATAATGTTTCTAGTTCTTTATAGGAAAAGTTGGAATTTTGTCTCTTGGGAAGCTTCCCCCAGGAGACTGTTATTTCTAAGAGGAAATTGAATATTGGCTCAGAGCACCGTTTCAGGATCATTGGCTTGTCCTTCCCAAACTCCTTCATGTGTTTTTGAGGCTTTGCAGTCTGGCTTATTCCTCTTTCCTCATTGCTCACCACTGTCAGCTTTGCACTGGAGGCTTCAGAATTACTTAATTTAACAAGTATGAAGTGCCCATTTGCAATTCCCATGAGCCTGGGCCCTGTGCTGACTTGCATCTAGAGCTGTACCACACACCTCTGCGTCTACAAAACTTCCCAGGCTCTGATGTTTGACAGCTTCTGGCCTCATCTTAGAAAAGGCAGTAGGTGTGGTGGTTAAGTGCCTAGACTCTGGGGTCGGCCCAAGTGGGTTCAAATCCCAACTCTTCCACTTGCTAGTGGTATGCATTCGGGAGGTTTCTTAACCTCTTTGTTTTACCTTTAAAATGGCAGTAATAATAGTGGCTGTCTTGCAGTGTTGTTCTGAGAATTACAGGCGGTAAGCCACTAGTGCAGTTAGCGTATTCCTAGCACATCGCGGCTTCTCAGCAAGTGTTAGTTAGCTATTATTATTATTGTGGTATGTTGCTTCCTGCAGGGAGTCTTCTGATTCTAGTGTGCTCCCAGAGCCTGCTCTGTAAGTCCTGCTGTTATGTTTATCGTGCTGTATTGTAATTTCCCATTTGCTTGTTTCTGTCCACTTCTGGACTGCAGGCCCCTTGACGGTATGTAGGTTCCCTTTCTTGGCCACAGTTGTGTCCCCGTTGCCTGGTAGACATTGTTTCCTTCCTCTACCTGCTCTAAGAAGTTAAGGTAGGTATTCTCCCCCACCCCCACCCCGCATTTTTAAGAGTCCTTAACTAAATTGCTGTTGATTTTTTGATGAATGGGTCTGCTTGCCTGTTTTGTCATGAGCTAAGAGGTTCAAGTGTTTCCCCTTCCCCTCACTAGGACAGTTTTTAAAGATGCACCATGATTTGGGGATGAAAAAAGACATTCATTAAGCTTCCTTGTCCCATTACAGTAGGCTCTTTAGATACATTCTGATTGAATTCACCCTCAGCTCCGAGTTAGGTGGCAAATAGACCCATTTAAGAATTGTGTAATGTGCTCAGAGTCATTCAGCTTGGTAGATATCAGAGTTGGACTCTAAACCTGGGCCTGGCTGGCTTCATGGCACCTACTGTTTTTGTTCTGTGCTCATTGCCTTGCTGGGGACTGGTCGGCTGGTTCCCTGCCCACAGCTGCCGTCCCAGGGCCTTATTGCCTCTTCTCTGGGGAGCAGTACAGTTAGACCTCGAAAGTGATCATTAAAGGGATTGATTCTTTCTGTTGGGAAGATGCTGAGTTGGATGTGATCTTATATTGTGCAACTGTAATATTTTAATAGCACAAAACAGTAAGACTGTCATGCAGGCAGATAAGGATTACAGATAAAAGCAACAAGCTTGGCAACACTGGGGAGGAGAGAGCAGAGAAACATCTATTTTTATAGCTTCATTTCTTAGTTTGTCCAAAAGTTAAAAAAAGAACTAATCATTCCCTCTGGGCCACCTGGATCTGTGATTGGTACAAAAAACACAGCGTATCCAAAGGATAGTCTGTGTAAAGACTTTCTTTCAAAACCATTTGTCAAAGAATAGCTTCCACCTCTCTTCTGAACATGGCTCTTTAAACAACAAAACACAGGTGGGCTTGGAACTAAGTTTTATTGGGACTAGAGCTGGCCTTGAAAGTAGTAAGATAAGCTAATGAATCAGAATAATACAACATCTGCTTTAAAAAAATTTTTTTTAGTTTTTAAAATTTTGTTTAAAAATTTATTTATTATTTATTTTTGGCTGTGTTGGGTCTTTGTTGCTGTGCACGGGCTTTCTCTAGTTGCGGCGAGCGGGGGCTACCCTTCGTTGTGGTGCGTGGGCTTCTCATTGCAGTGGCTTCTCTTATTGCAGAGCACGGGCTCTAGGTGAGCAGGCTCAGTAGTTGTGGCTCGCAGGCTCTAGAGCGCAGGCTCAGTAGTTGTGGCACACGAGCTTAGTTGCTCCGCGGCATGTGGGATCTTCCCGGACCAGGGCTCAAACCCGTGTCCCCTGCCTTGGCAGGCAGATTCTTAACCTCTGTGCCACCAGGGAAGTCCCAAACTTTTAAAACTTTTATGTTTTAAATTAATTTTTATTGGAATATAGCTGCTTTACAGTGTTGTGTTAGTTTCTCCTGTACATCAAAGTGAATCAGCTATACTTATACATATATCCCCTCTTCTTTGGGTTTCCTTCCTTCCCATTTAAGTCACCAAAGAGCACAGAGTCGAGTTGCCTGTGCTATACAAGTAGGTTCTCATTAGTTATCTAATTTGTACATAGTATCAATAGTGTATATATGTCAATCCCAATCTCCCAGTTCATCCCACCCCCCCTTTCCCCCAACATCTGCTTTTTTCGCTAAGAATCATTAGAGTACCAGCTTTTGTAACATCATCACATTTAAATTTTCTATTTGCATATTTTAAAAAAACAGCCAAGGAATGGCATGTTCTCATATGATTAATTAGCACCTACCGGCTGAGCCGTTTCTAGTGCAGTAGGCCTGGCAGACTTGCATGGCACCAAAGGAGTCCCCTTCTCTTCTGGTTTGTCATCAGCCCCTCACCCAAGCCGAGGACTCAGGAGTTTGCAAATGTAGCTGCTGATGAAAGCCTCGGCTTCAAAAATATCGAAGGCTCCCTCCAGCTCTGAAATTCTATAAAAACGCTGAAGAAACAGGAGAAAGGAGAGAGACTCTTTCAGAAATGCTAACATCTTTAAAAATTTTTGTTATTAAAAATTTTTTTTTCTAATGTAGGCACTTGTGTGATGACTTATATTCAAAAACAAGTACAACTTGAAGCTTTCTGGTCAGAAGGTGATATAGGTAATGGCTTCTTTATTTTTTTTTAAATTTATTTACTTTATTTTTGGCTGCGTTGGGTCTTCGTTGCTGTGTGCGGGCTTTCTCCATTTGCGGCGAGTGGGGGCTGCTACGCTTCGTTGTGGTGCGCGGGCTTTTCATTGCAGTGGCTTCTCTTCTTGTGGGTCACGGGCTCTAGGCACGCAGGCTCAGTAGTTGTGGCGCACAGGCTTAGTTGCTCCATGGCATGTGGGATCTTCCCAGACCAGGGCTTGAACTCGTGTCCCCTTCATTGGCAGGCAGATTCTTAACCACTGCGCCACTGGGGAAGCCCTGGCTTATTTATTAAAACAACTGATGTTTGGAGTTCACAACAACCCGAGCCGCAAAATCTTGAAGTTCTTTTTGGAAGTGAGTCCATCTAGTCAAACTTGCAGACTCTGTTGTTAGCAGCTGGTGGCTAGTAAAAGAATCAGGGACTTTTTTTTGTTAAACAAGTGTTAGGAGCATTAGAGGTTTTGGGGGAGACTCTGAATAAATCGATACCCTCCTCTGGGTTATTATATGCAGGTAATTCAGAGCATTGTTCCTTACTCTGTTTCCTGTGTGGATTATTCCCCCTTGTCAGTGATGGGGCATCCTACTTGACATTCTTTTTTAGACTAAGACTGAACACAGAGTAAGTAGAGGGCAAAATCAGCTTAAATTTCATGTGCACTTACTATATTCTAAACACCATGCTAATACTTTACATTGAATCCTCACAAAGCCATATGAATAGGTATTGTTATCCCCATTTTACAGATGAGAAAACTAAGACAGACTAACATGACCAAGGTCAGAGAGCTAGTTAGTGGACGAGTCAGGATTCAGTGTGGAGCCCAGAGTCCACATTCCTAACCACCACACTGTACTTGTCAGGGCTGGGATGTCATGAGAAATGTAGACATTTTGTCAACCTACCACTTCAAGCTGTTGTTTTCACACATTGTTTCGGCCACAAACATTGCCTTCCCACCTTGGCCAGTACTCCTGGCTTTGCATTTCAGCAAATTCGCAGAGATCAAATCTGTCCTGGCAGGATTTCCTTCACATACTTACAAGACTCTGCCTAGGCTCCCTGACAGTCAGCCCTGGTAACCGTGGGGTTCGTCCTGGTGGAAGATGGTGAAGGCAAGCATGTCCAGAGAAAGAGGGGAAAGAGTACTGAGCCCCCAGCATTTCCACACCAGAGAAGCCACCACCGGAGGAAACAGCAAGAGCTGAAGGGAAGTCTGGGAAGGCCATGCTATAGTGATCAAGGGAAGAGAAAATTTAAGGGAAAGTTTGATCGACTGTCGAGTACTTCAGAGATCGTGGAAAATGAAAACAGAAATTGCATTTGGGGATTGTGTGAGTTGCTGTTTCATTAAGGAGGTGAAAAGCTGATGGTTGCCTTGAGGGTCTGTGCAGTGAATGGGTAGGGAGTCTATTGTGAGGCCAGTGGGTATAGATCACTGACTTCCAGAGTTCAGCAAGGACAGGAAGAATTGAAGTAAGATGGCTTTGGAGCAGTGGGATTCAGTGAAGCCTTTTGCCTTGTGTTCTGACCACATCTGAAGGCGATGGAAGAACATGATAGAAAGGGGGCAACTGAAGATGCTGGGATAATGTTAACAGCACAGACTGAATTCTTCCTGTATCCAGGTACTGGGGGAAGCACGTTTCCTGTTTTATCTTGTTTAATTCACCCAGCAACCATGGGAGCTAGGGAGTCAACCCCTCTTTTACAGAAGAGGAAACAAGAGTTTAAGCCACTTGGCCAAGCTCAGAAGGCTACAAAGTTGTATAGTTTTAAACTGAGTCTATCAAGCTACATCATGGGTATAATGGAGTGAACAGATTATAGGGGAGATAGAGTCTGAGGAGAGAGGTGCTTTTCTTCCTCTGAGACCCTAGGAAAGGATTCCTGAATTCGGTTGGAGAGGAAGATGGATCAACTCTTTGACCCTTATTTAAGTGCCTGTGTTGTGCCCAGTGTTGGACTCCATTCGGCTCCCCCCAGCTCCATCCTCAAAGAGCCTCAAGCTGTTTGAAGGATGCCAGTTTTTGTGGGTTTTTTGTTTTTGTTTTTTTTTTTTTTTAATAATCTAAGTCCTTTTGCAGAGGCAGGGGCTTCAGACACCTAGGGGAAGTTTTTTAAAAAGTCAGCTCGGTGGACAGTGAATGCACTGGTAATGTTGGCTCAGCCCTACGGCCTCCCAGAATCTGTTTGTACTTGGCATTGAATGGAAGGGTTTTGGTGTGCATATTTTTCTTTTCTCCTGTATTTATGGATGTTAATATGAACCATTCAGCCAGGTCTATAAAGTCTGATAGAAGTTGGTCAGGGTTTGGTTTTTAGATACACTTTCCTCTAGCCTTTCTTTCAACGAGCTTCAGGTTCGTGTTCTTATTTATAGGTCCCAGAGACCTGTGCCCTCAGTATGCACTGCAGTCTTCATAAAATCGTTGAAGATTTGTACACATTTTCTACTCCAAAAAGCTTCTATGGGGGTGAGCATAGTTGCCTTCCAAAAAAGCTTCAAGTTCAGTTTCCTGTTTTTCTCAGCCTTTAACCCTTTATAAAGGAGACATTCTTTGGGGGTAATTTGTTAAGTTTCATGTTTCTCTGCAGCGCTGCTATTTCTGCGTGTGGTTTGGCAGCCATTGGCACGGGAACATTTGGATTTCCAAATGGGTGGTTCCTGCCATTTGGAGAAAATCTGTCTGAGATGATCAAGGAGGTGGAGGAGGAGGCAAAATGATTAGAGAGACAAAGGCATACGAATCTGTTAGTACATTTATTAATATTATCTGATCTTAGAAGTCTTAATTGCCTCTAGTATCATTTTTATTTTTCCTACCTAATTATGTAGATCTTTTGCCTCTCTGTTCTTGAAGACAAATTTTTTAATTGGCAACTCAGCAGTTACTATTATGTTTATTTCTATTGGACTTTCAAGTGTTCTCATATTCTTTCTTACATGTTATTTGCAAGGAGACTTAATTCTTAGTCCCTTTCTGGTCTGTTTCTTTTTTTTATGGTCTGTTTTTTGTGTTTTGTTTTTGTCTGTATTAGTTACAGTTTCACATTATCCTTTTCTTTTTCTCAGAAGCCTTGACTATCTTAGACTCTTGATTTCTATCTTCTGTAAATGATTTTTTAAAAAATGAAGCCCATTTATTTGGGGCCTTTCACAAACCCTCTTTTAGTACATTTTTCTTCCCTCTAGTTTCTGCTCATAGAATGGCTTTCCTGAAGTCCTATATGACAAATGACATTGAGGGTGCCAGGAAAGAGTCTGGTTTGCCCCTGTCTGTGACCAGATAATAAGCATGTAATTGGGCCTTGGGGCAGAGGCCTTCACGTGCTCTGTGATAGAAGGGTAAGCTGATGGGCCCAGGGGTGACTGAGTAGGAAAATTACAGCCTTTCTAGAGAAATAGCTGAGAAACCATGAAGGAGGCTTAAGTGACAGATAGGAAGGAGGAAGATCCTTCTTGCCAGGAGTTGGAGAATCTTACTGATTTTGTCAATAGAATTCTGGGGAGCATTATCTGGGGTTTGGGAAACTGGGGGAAATGTAATTTCAACTTGAAATTGGGTGGGTGGGAGTGCTGTTTGGGATTCAGACCAAATTGAGCTTCTTTAGTTTCTTTAGAGCAGTGATTATCAGCTAGGGGTGATCCTCCCCACCCCCGATGCCGGTGATGTCTGTTGTCACAGCTTGGGAGTCGGGGAGCCGTGCTACCGGCATCAGACCAGGGATGCTATAAACATCATACAGTGCACAAGACAGCCTCCCCAAACCCAGAATTATCTGGCCCAAAATGTCAATAGTGCTAAAGTTGAGAATCCCTGCTTTAGAGAGAGCCTTGTGGGATTTTCATCAGGAGTGGATTAAAATTAGGAAGTAAAACTAGAGGAGGCTGTAAAAAGGCTCAGATCTTATTATACATACAGATTCTGTATCTGCAGGTTCCACATCTGTGGATTCAACCAACTGCAGATTGAAAATATTTGGAAAAAGAAATTCCGGAATGTTCCAAAAAACCAAAACTTGAATTTCCCACACTCCAGCAACTATTTACATAACATTTACATTGTATTTACAATTGTTTACATAACATTTACATTCTATTAAGTGTTATAAGTAATCTAGAGATGATTTAAAGTGTACAGGAGGATGTGTGTAGGTTATATGCAAACACGACACCATTTTATATAAGGGACTTGAGCATCTGTGGATTTTGATATCTGGGAGTTCCTGGAGCCAGTCGCCTGTGGAAGAACTGTGCTTCTTCATGTGTTTGTGTAGTTTATATGGTGTTTTTTATATCTTCTGATGATCACATGGTGTAGTAAAGAAGCTTCGACATTCCCAGTCACTGGCATGCTACCCTGCAGGGGACACAGGTGAGGGAGTCTCAGTGCTTTCGGGGCAAATCCTTCTTCCCTGGGTGGTGGCAGCATGGGAAACTTACCTGTGGTACTGGGGAAACTTCTTTGAGGGCCACCGGTAGCCTCCCTTGACTATCCATGCCTTTGATTGGATGTGTTTAATGGAGAAACGCAATCTCTCAGAACCTTCTAGGGACTTCCCTGGCTGTGAAGACTTCCCTTTTCCCAGTGGTTAAGACTCCACGCTCCCAATGCAGGGGACATGGGTTCGAGCCCTGGTCGGGGAACTAAGATCCTGCATGCTGCGAGTTGCAGCCAAAAAAAAAAAACCTTCTAGAGCCCTCTGAAAGTGTAATGTTCCCAACCTCTGAGAGCCATTCCTCTTGGGGCCAGTGGTATTAGAGATAATGATCTCTGTCCCTGGACTTGCTGAGTGGGGGACAGAGGGGTGCTGATGAAGCCGAAGACCCTTTCTCTCAGGAGACACCATCATTTTATTCATAGGGTTTCCAAAATGGAACCTTTTGAATTGTTCTGTGACCCCTTCTAATTTGTGTCACGTAACTTATTTGAATTCCTTAAAACAGGTATTTCTCACCGTAGCATCCGGGACCCCAAAGATGTAGACTTTGAGGTGCAGAGTGTGCAGGCAAAGGCAGACAGAGTGTCTTGGTACTCGAGGTGGATTTTACACTGGAATACTCCCATGATCAGGTGGTAGTTTAAAGGGCACTCCAGCTCGCTCGCTGCCTCGTTATCCCGGTGCCCCCCAGCCTCCCAGGAGGAGAAAAGCTCCTCTTTCAGGCACTGTGAGGCATCAGGTACAACCCCGGTCCCTGATCGGGGGTTGACCTTGTTTCCTCTCCTCAGTTATGGGATATTAGCTCATATGCAGCTTTGAGGAAGGGCTGTGTCCCCACTATTGAGTAACTTATCATCACAATGTCCTATGAAGCGGTCTGTAATTATTATATATGGTGAGGAGTGTGGGATCTGGCGCCAGGTTAACTCCTGGCTTCAGGACTTCTGCTGTGGGCCCTGGGCTAGTTCGCCATTCTTCGCCTCAGTTTGTCTGTTTGTAAAATGAGAGTAATTCCATCAGGTTGTTATAAGGATTAAATGAACGTAGAACATTTAGAATGGCGCCTGGCACATACTAAGCATCCAGCAGTGTTGTTGTACAGAAAGTGATGTGGTGCAGAACATCAGTGCTAGAGGAATTCAGGGAAGGAGAGGGAGGTGTGGTCAGGAGAGGCTTCCTTGATAGGGCTTGAAACGGGCTGATGGCTTGAGTCGGGCAAAGAAATGTGCATAATGGTACAGAAGTAGGAAGGGACTTGATGTGTTCTAGAAGCTGTAAGGAAACTGATTAGGGTAATGGGAAATTCGATGGGGTATGTGATTTGGGGCGTGGGAAGTGGGAGTGATCACAGAGTTCTAACATAGATCTAAGGGTTAGTTTTTGTAGAGGGGCACCAGGGGCCATTTAGGCGACCAGGGGATGACATAGCTGTGGACTGACACAGGAACTGGAAATTTAAGCCAGTGAGTCAACTGGAGACTCACAGCTTGGGTTGGAGTGAGGTGAGCGACAGGAAGCGGAAGGCCCGCCGGGAAGCTGTTCTGATCGTTCACCTCTTTTTGATCGGGACTGAGTGATGGCTATGGGCATAGAGGAAGGGGTCGGCGCAGGTAGTGTTTGAGGTGGTGCTGTGACACATAGGATTTGATGACTGATGGAGACACGGGGGAGACAGGTGCAAGGTGACCTGAGTCTTCAGTCCTGTCTGAATGGCTGTGCAAATAGTGGTCAGAGAGAGGAGAGTGGAGAGGAGGAGCAGGTTAGGGGAAGATTTTGCGACGAGCAGGAAGGTAATGACCCCTAACAACCAAGAGGAGCCCCAAGAGCGGCCCCGTTCCCGGAACCGAGATGGCTTCCTTTGGGCTGAAGTTTGAGCGCGGTAGCCGGAGGCGAGGCTTCCATTTCCCCCATTCATTCTCTGAGCGTCCAACTCCACAGGATGTAGGGCCCAGACTTGGCACTTATTAGTGGCTCCTGCTCAACTTTACTGCCTATTTCCCTGGACCTTCTTGAGCCACGGGCTTCTCAGTATCAGGTGGTATTTGGGCTTCAACGTTGTTTTCCATAAGGCAACCTCTGAACTTTGGAGGAGGTTGGGAATATTGCCTTCCCTTTCCTTCACAAACCACATACTTCTGCTGTTTCAAATCCCTGTAAAGCTTTCGGCTACCATGGTCAGGCTCTGCCGGTGATGTGATTGCTTTTGAGATTGTAAAGGAAGAAACACCGTGGAAGAAGAGAGTAGCTTTTTTTAGAGCCCCAGGCGTCCTAGGATCATCTGAAATGTCTCAGATTTTCATGCGTGGAATCACTCTGTTAGGAGCACTGTGGCACAGGGAAGCTGCAATGTTACGATAAGGAAGAGCCCTGGCTTCCCCTAGGCCAGGGTTTTAGCCCAAAAGCCCCAATAAAAGCATTATCACAGCAGGGTGGATTGGGCTAAGGCCCTTCCTCATGTTTGCTTTGTTTCAATTATTCTTTTTTGAGCAGTCTTTCCCCGCCCCCCCCCCTTCTTTCTTTTTCCTCTACCACCCTCCCTGACCTCCCCTCACTGCTTTGTGTCAGACACTGTTCTAATATTTTCCAAGTTTCCAAGTACTGGCTCATTTAATCTTCACAACAACCCCTCTGAGAGGGTACAGTTGTTATCCTATTTTACAGCTGAGGAAACGGAGGCACAGCATGCCCAGAGTTGCACACCTAGTATTGTGGCTGGGATTTGAGTCCTGGCAGGTTGGCTTTAGGGCCCCTGCTCCTAATCACCTTGTTTAATGGTCTCCCTTCTGTTAGCCGGAGCCACCATTTTGAAGACGGCATTTTCTGTTCCCTCTTTTTAGTTCCACTCAAGAATTTGTTTTAGGAATGTCACATGGTAACATAAGAGGGAACAGATGCTTTTTTGAGTGCTATAGACCTGGCCTGAACACTGGCTGTACCCACTTATTAGCTGTGTAACCTTGGGCAAGTCACTTAACCTCTTTGAGCCTCGGTTTTTAAATATGTGTAACAAAGTTAAGACCCGTCATGAAGAAGTGAGACAGATTTTGTAAAGTGCCTAGAATTTAGTAGCCGTGGGGTTTGGGGCTGGTTATTAAACCTCCTCTGTAAAATGAAGATAATAATTCTTATCTCTGTAAATGCTTTACAGTTAAGTGCTTCAAAGAATATCTGGAATGTAATAAATGCTCAATATTATTAGTACAAGCCAGCTTTCAACATATATATTCTTTATGCTTCAGTACATTTTTCAGCACTTGTGTTTAACCAGTACTCTTTTTTTGTTGGGGGGGGGGTCTCATTTAGGCCTCTTTGGTTAGATTTCATATACTTTTGACTCTCCTAAGCAAAAGAACCTTGTATGGTAGGGACTTGATAATAACAGATGAGTAAATGTATTTGACCCATGTTTGATTTTCTTGTGTAGCAGCTACTTGCCTGGGAAAAGGTCCCGTTTTTCTCTAGTGTACATATGTACATATATGTATATATAGGTGAGTGACTTGCCTTGCCTTACCATGCAGATTATCTGTCCTGGTGGGGCAGTTGTTTTTCATCATTGTTATTGGAGTATTTAGCCATCTGCTGCTTTGCTTTAAATTTTTTGTCTTGTTTCTTTATCTTTTTGAAATATTTAATATCTGTCTCTCTTGTAAAGATCATAGTGGTTAACCATTACTTTTAGTTATGAGACCCAAACCCCTAAACTGCTTTGTCTCTTTTATCCTGTTATTTCCCCTGTAGTTCCGGCTTAATCTCCATGTTCCTACTGTACGATTTCTTGAAATTCATGAATGAGATTTTTCTTTTCAGTTATCTTTGATCGATAGCTGTCTCCCCTTCTCTCCTTCCCCACGTTGGATTCCAGAAGACTAATTTTAATTAAATGAAAGGTTTTGGTCTTCTCATTACACCAATCAATGGGTAGTTTCCAGCACAGGAAGTTGGTTTCCACATCTGATGGGATCGTTTCCCAATGATCCTAAACTCTCCCAGTCTGTTGGAATATTCATAATATTGAACTTTTCTCGTTACTTATTGCGGGGAGGGATTTAGCAAGGGGGTGCTAGGTGCATCTCTCCTGGACTGTGTTTGGAGGGTCAACAACATAAATATTGATAGATAATGCACAGGAAAGGGTTGGAGAGAGAGAAGCTTCTATGGGAAGGAAGGTGAGCAGGTGGTCATGTGTCGTTGTGAACCCAGGCTGTGGAGTCCAGCGGAACAGGATTCAAACTCCAGCCTGCCCCATGCTCTCTGTGTGACCTGGGTAGGCTGCTTAATTCTTCTAAATCCCAGACTCCTTTTGTAAAATAGGGATGCAGACTTTTACCACACCTGACTGCCTCAGGGTTGATGGAGATGACGGAGATGGGGGTAGGGGGTGTGGGGGACTCTCGTTTGTCTCCCCCGCTTCCTTTGGCTTTCTTCCCTGCTCTGCTTGTCTCTGAGGAAGGCAACTTCTCAGCCTTCTTACAGGTTCCTCATGGAAATTAACCACAATTTTGCAAACTTAGGAATGTTGTATCTCCTAAGAAGTATCATTTTGCCTCATTCCCATGATTGTGGTCACAGGTATAGCTGAGTCTCCTTCCTACTTGGTCAGCTGCCCATCAGCAATGACCCTTCTTCCTTATTACTTTGGTCGAGGGAAGGGTTTTACGCTAATTTCAAATTAAAGGCTGTTTTCGGTCTTGGACCTTCATGCCTTCTTAGCTTTGAGGACTCTCAGAAGCAAGTTTTATCTTTGTGTAGAAGAGCCCCTGCCCCCTCCCCTTCTGCTTTTTTAACTCTCCACAAACGGCATTATTTCAAGGAGCCACCAAGTCTTAAGGGGTATTTAAATCTTATAAAACCTGAGTGATTCAAAATGGTTAGAGGAGGGAACCACTGTACCTTTTCTTCCAACCAGTCTGCGGCAAGGGATGGGACCAGTTTGCTGAATTTCCTTTCCTTCATCCAGGAACGTCTCCTGTAATCTATGTGCAAGCCTGGGAAAAATCCACACTTAGATGGCTCAATAAATAACACCTCTTTCTGTTGTGGACACTTCCAAAGAGCTAAAGGGCAGGAAAATTGATGAGGAAGAAGCACAAAATAGTAAAAGATTAATAAGTGCGTGATTAGCCTTTTCCATATTCAAAGTTTAATGAATATATATTACAGGTACAAGAGAGTTGCCTTAAAACAATTGCAGCCTCTGGAGAAGGGCTGAGGTGCACCGTAGAGGCTGAGGCCTCCAGCAGCCAACTGGTTGACCCAATTGGGATAGTTCTGACAAATTTTAAGGTAGAGAGAGAGAGACTGGAGGATCTGGCACGGGTAAGGCCTTGACTTCAGTTCTAGCCTCAAGTCTGCCTTAGACAGGGTCATTTTCCCCCTTTTCACCATAGCTTTTTTCCACGGGTAAGATGATGGTCCGGATGCTTTCTCAGATCTCTTCTAGCTCCAGAGCTTCCGATTCCTGATTCCTTGCGTTCTGCTTGTATAACAGACAAGATAGACAGAGATTCATTAGCTATAATGTGTGTGTGTGTGTGTGTGTGTGTGTGTGCGCGCGCGCGCGCGTTATTCTTGTCTTTAACCTGGTCATAACTACCAGTCAAATAGTGGGTTCTTTTTTTTTTTTTTAAATAGCCACAGAATTGTACAAACATCACTACAGTCTAATTTCAGAACATTTTCATCACTCCAAAAAGAAACCCCATACACATTAGAGTTCATTTCTCATTTTCCTTCCGTCTCCCCAGGTAGCCACTAATCTGCTTTCTGTCTATATGGATTTGCCTATTTTGGACATTTCACATAAGTGGAATCATACAATATGTGGCCTTTTGTGACTGGATTCTTTTACTTAACATAATGTTTTCAAGGTTCATCTATATTGTGGCAACTATCAGTACTTCATTCTTCTTTATTGCCAAAAAACATTCCATGGTATGGTATGTCACATTTTACTCATTCATTCCTCAGTTGATGAAAATTTAGATTGTTTCCATGTTTTGGCTATTATGAATAATGCTGCTTTGAACATTTATATACAAGTTTTTGTGTGGCCATATGCCTTCATTTCTCTTGGAGTGAATTGCTGAGTTGTATGATAACTATATTTAATTTTTTGAGGATCTGCCAAATTGTTTACCATGGCTGAACCATTTTACAAGCCTACCAGCAATGTATAAGGGTGCCAGTTTTTCCACATCCTTGCTAACGCTTGTTCTTGTCTGTTATATTTTAGCCATCCTAGTGGATATAAAGTGATTTTTTAAATTTGCTTTTTCCTCATGGCTAATGTTATTGAGTAACTTTTCATGTTACTTATTAGCCATTTGTATATTTTTTTGGAGTGATACCTTTCCAAATCCTTTGGCCATATTTGAATTGGCTTATTTATCTTTTTTATTGTTGAGGTGAAAGAGTGGCTCCTCTTTGAAAGTTTTGTTTAGCAGTCTGGAATTTTAAATTTATGTCACTGATCGTTCCATCACTGCTTTTGAAGACTAAAGGTCATTGGTTAAACGGATTTTTTTTGAAGTCGGCTATTAGAAATGGAAGCTTAAAAAGATTTTTAAATGCAAAAGGTGGCAGAGGGGTCATGCATAGAGTGATGGGAAGAAGGTGGTTTTGGATTTATACACAGGAAAACAGTGTAAGTGTTTTGGAAGCAGCTGCCCCTCCTTCAAGCACTTGACTTCCTTCGATATCATACCAATGTCTGTTTTCTTCTACTTGTTTGTGGCTTTGACTGACATCTTCCAAAAGAGTTTTCAGGGCTAATGCCTTTGAAAAATACTAACGAATTAGATGGAAATTAATGTAACTAAACATTACTTTCATTTGAGGATACTGTGAGTTTTTTTTTTAGGTAGTCAATAGCTGTTATTTTATGACTGCTATTCCAGAAATTGTGGCCTTAGACTATTATACTATGGTGTTCAGCGGACTGGCTTGGAGAAAGGGAAAAGAATTGAAGAACCTCCATAACTAACTGTCTAACCATGTATGTTGGAGAGTTGAAAGCTTTGGTTATTCTTTTACTCTCCTTGCAAATTGAAGCATTTTCCAGAGAGCCGATGAGGACAGCAGCCCTCACTTTAGCTCCCAGGATACTTACAACACTGGGTGAAATAGTTTTTTTATTCACCGAAGTCTTTGGATCTTGCCTAGAGCTTGGTTAGCTTTAAACTATTTTGGCCTTACTCAAGGACCCTGTCTAGTTATTGTTCATTTTCTCATTTGCATTTACACGTAGCTTAAGGGGCTTCCCTACATCCCCTCCCCCGGAACCTCATGCAAGAAAAAACATCCTTGCAACTTGGCCTTTTAGTAAGTGTTGGAAACTGGGCTTCATGACAAGTTGGCTGTGAACCAAGCTTTCCTTGCTCTTACACATGTGAAACCTGTTTCTTTTGGCTAAGGTATTTAAAGAAAAAAAAACTGTCCACATCTCAGCTAAAACAATCATCTTCCCCTGCCCCCCCCCCAGCCTTATCCCCCTCTTCTTCCTTCCCATTTTATTTGACAAGACTGCTGTGAATCACTTTTTCTAGGTATTTCAAACATTATGCTGCTCAGGTTTCTTCTTCTATCTGCTCTTATTTCCCTTCTTAGAGGAGTGGCTATGTGAGGCCATTCGTGTTGTCTCTAATGTAAGAAAACCTTTGGGGTTCTGTCCTTTGGACATGACTCTCATTTCATGCTTCTCTGCACAGGGATGGGCTTGTTTACATTTTTTTAATGCCCCATCTTCTGAATCAGAAGTGAGACTACCCTTGTGTTAGTTTGTATTAAAAACCGCTGAGATGAGTGGTGGAGCCAGGACTTGCCGACGTTGTTGGACTTTGTCATTTGTACTTGACGTATGAGAAAGGGAACGGCTTAATATTTGGGCTCCTCTTTCCTGTAGTTTTAGTTGTCTCTTATCTTTAAGCAAATCCTGAAAACATAAACATTTTAAATTAATATACGTTGTTAAAAGCCCCACTGGATTAAATACACACCAGTATTTCAATATTAAAAGTATCGTTGATACTTCCTAAATAGCTCTGGCTACCAGCTGTGTAAGGAAAACCTTGAAAGAAAGAAGGTGCAAGTTATTTATTTAAAGTACCCCCCTGGGGGAAGGTTGGGGGTGGGATGAATTGGGGGATTGGGATTGACATATATACACTACTGTATATAAAATAGATAGCTAATAAGAACCTACTGTATAGCACAGGGAACTCTACTCAATGCTCTGTGGTGACATAAATGGGAAGGAAATCCAGAAAAGAGGGGATATATGTATACGTATAGCTGATTCACTTTGCTGTACAGCAGAAACCAACACAACATTGTAAAGCAACTATACTCCAATAAAAATTAAGAAAAATAAAAAAGTGGATATATGAATAACTGATTCACTTTGCTGTATAGCAGAAACACAACATTGTAAAGCAACTATACTCCAATAAAAATTAATTATAAAATAAAATACCCCCCTGGTGAAGTGGTGATGGGATTAGCATGTCCCTAGCGACTGGTAAGGGGCTTCAGGAGCTTATTTTAGGGTGCTCAGCACCCCACAATCTTTAGGGTGCATTGAAAGAGCACACGTCATGCTGGTGAACCCTTATCTCCAGTGGGGGGAAATACAGGCCAGTGTGTCTGCAGAAGTAGAGTGACCTCTGCTGCCATCAAGGTGGAGAGTCTGGAGACTATGATTCTGACTTTGCCTTTCCTCTGAAGAGCCCTGTTGCCTCTGCAGCAGATGGGAACACAGGGGTCTGTGACTGTCAGTGGGAGGCTGGTGAAGGACCTCCAGCTGTTGATGACTTGGGATATAATATTGAGGTCATTACCTTGACATACAATTCTCTATAGTCTTTCTAGGCAGAGGAGAAAAAAAATTCAAATCCCCCTTCAACTGTTCATTTGCTTCCATTGCCAGACTAATCCAGTGCCTATGATGTGTTTCCTTCCTTAATGGTCAAAGCACTACCGTAATTTCAAACCAACCTGGGGTTTCTAATTCTTAGGAGAAGTCTCTAATATATTTTAATAGAGGCAATAGCTCTTAAGGATATGTAGTTCCTTCACTATTCATTCACCTCATCCCCAACTTGTATAGGACTAACGGCTTCATTGCTATCAGTTAATGTGAAATATATCCCTCTTGACACCTAGATAAGTAAACACCTTGGGAGCCAAACTTTTGTAAGAAACTACTTGTTTGAAAAACAGAGCACAGGACTGATAACATAGCTTCATTTATTCATAGAACATTTTATCCAGTACACACCTATATGAGCAGGGCACTGTTCTGGATACCAAGCAGATACAAAAACAGATCTCACACGGATGGACCTTGGTCTCAAGTGCCTTAGAGTCTAGAGAGACACATATATACATATTACATACATGTGCAAAATGCATATGGATACATACATATCACCTCACTTTTTACTCTGTTATTAACTAGTGTAAGCAGATAAAGGATAATGGAAGTTGAGAGGAGAGAAGAGAGTCCTTCTGGATATGTAGCACTGAAAGGCTCAGTGGTTATGGCTTTGGGCTCTGGAGTCAGAGTGCCTGAATTCAAATCCTGGTTTAGTACTTATTATTGTAGGAACTTTGGACAAGTTACAGTAGTCCCCCCCATCTGCGGTTAAGCTTTCTGTGATTTGTTAGCCACGGTCAACTGCTGTCCAAAAATATTAAATAGAAAATTCTAGAAGTAAATATTTCATAAGTTTTAAATAGCACACTGTTCTGGGTAGTGTGGTGAAATCTTACCCCATCCTGCTCCATCCTACCTGGTATGTGAACCATCTCTTTGTCCAGTGTATCCACGCTGTATATGCTACCTGCCTATTAGTCACTTAGAAGCTGTCTGGGTTATCAGATCGACTGTTGCAGCATCGCAGTGCTTGTGTGATAAACCCTTATTTTACTTAATAATGGCCCCAGGGCTTCCCTGGTGGCTCAGTGGTTAAGAATCCGCCTGCCAATGCAGGGGACATGGGTTTGAGCCCTGGTCCGGGAAGATCCCACATGCTGCAGAGCAACTAAGCCCACGCGCCACAACTACTGAGCCCTCGTGCCACAACTACTGAAGCCTGTGCGCCTAGAGCCTGTGCTCTGCAACAAGAGAAGCCACCGCAGTGAGAAGCCTGCACACCACAATGAAGAGTAGCACCTGCTCGCCGCAGCTAGAGAAAGCCCACGCACAGCAATGAAGACCCAACGCAGCCAAAAAAACCCCCAAAATGCCCCAAAGTGCAAGAGTAGTGATGCTATCGATTTGGCTATTCTCTTACTGTGCCTAATTTATAAATTAATCTCTATCATAGGTATGTGCATATAGGAACAAACAAATCGTATACGTGAGGTTCAGCACTGTCCGTGGTTTCAGGCATCCACTGTGGGTTTTGGAACGTATCCCTTATAACTAAGGGGGGACTACAATATTTTATTTCTCTAAGACGGTTTCTTCTTCTGGTATTTAGGGATGATAAGTACCTACTTCAGGGGAGTTCCCTGGTGGTCCAGTGGTTGGGACTCCGAGCTTTCACTGCCGACGGCACAGGTTCAATCCCTGGTCGGGTAACTAAGATCTCACAAGTGCCTCGGCACAGCCCCCCGCCCCCCCGCCCCCACAAAAAAAAAGTACCTACTTCACAGGGTAGTTGTGAAGATTGAATAATATAATTTAGGTACAGCCTCAGCAGAGTGCCTGACACACAGTAGGCCTTGTTCTGTGCATGGAGGACCAGAGAAGCTAAAGTGTGAACTGTGGCCTTTGAAGGAAGAGAATTGAGGCATAGGGCAGTCTGGGGAGAGAGGTGGATGAGGAAAGCACTGAAGTGGAAGAGACTGCGCGTATTTGGAGAAAAGCTAAATTTTGCTGAAGCAATGGGGTATAACGTAGTAAAGAAGAAAATAAGATTGGGAAAAATAAGTTGTGGCTGGTTCACACAAGTCATCAATCCTTCACTGAATCATTTTGACCTCATTTCGAAGGATGAGGGATGCTACTGAAGGTTTTGGAGTGGACTAGCAATGATCAGACTCCAGCTTTAGTTTAATTAATCTAACGACACTTTTTAAAATTTAATTTAATTTATTTATTTTGGGCTTTGTTGGGTCTTCGTTGCTATGCGCGGGCTTTCTCTAGTTGTGGTGAGCGGGGGCTACTCTTTGTTGTGGTGCGTGGGCTTCTCATTGCAGTGGCTTCCCTTGTTGCATGGGCTGTAGGTGCATGGGCTCTAGGTGCATGGGCTTCAGTAGTTTTGGCACGTGGGCTCAGTAGTTGTGGCTCACGGGCTCTAGAGTGCAGGGTCAGTAGCTGTGGTGCATGGGCTTAGTTGCCCCGCGGCATGTGGGATCTTCCTGGACCAGGGCTGGAACCCGTGTCCCCTGCATTGGCAGGTGGATTCTTAACCACTGCACCACCAGGGAAGCCCATGACAACACTCTTTATGGTATCTGTGTTGGGGAAACTTATTAGGACAAGGTCCCAGGGCCTGAACTAAGTCAGTTCCCTTGTAGCCTTTCCTGTTCTATAACTTGGTCTGGTATGTGTCATGGGCACTTCCCTTTGTCATTGAGTTTTCTAGTACATCATCATTTTAAATAATGGTTTTACATCCTTCTCTCCCATCCCAACCTGCACCTCCCTCTGCAGTGACCTCTCTCCCACTAAAGGCACATATTGACCTTGTGTTCTCATCTCCTTCCCTCCATCTAAGCCAGGATGGCTCTGATGTCATTTATTCATAATTAGATAAAATAGAGATGTAGCAAATGCATTACTTCTCAACCATTTTAAAGCACATTTTAAGCCATTTATTTCTAATTGCAGTTTAAAAGGCTTTTCTTTTTCTTGGAAGAATTTCAGGCATCAAGCAGTTAGGGAGCAATCCTTTTAGGCCTATTCAGCTGAGTCTTAAAAAAAAAATCAATCGTATTAGGCTTTTTTAGAGTTAAGGGGCAGGGGAGGTCTCCAGTATCTTCCCCAGAGAGCTGTCCTCTCCCTTGAGGAATGGTGTGAAATGGTTCTGTGGAGAAAGCCTGTGTCATTGTCCCTGCCCTGGCACAAATCATCCTCTTCCCCCTGCCCACAGACAGATGTTTATCACATTTGAATTTTAATTTTTTACTCAGTTTTATTTGTTTTCTGACTTTTGGGATACTCCAGTTGTTTGCATATTGCTGTTTTTTTTAATTGTTGTTTTGTTTTTCTCTCTGAGTTTCGAAGAACCTGATGAACTAGTGTGTCTTTGAAACTCATCTCATAAGTAGTTACAGCATTATAAACTGGTTCTCCTAAGAATTACGAATTTTTGTTCTAAAAACATTTGATCGTAGATTATATAAGGGCTAAGAGCACTGATTTTAGGTTCTTTTGGAGGTGGGTTTTATGAGGTATGATGAAGCCAATCAAAGAATACCTCTCGGGCTTCCCCGGTGGCGCAGTGGTTGAGAGTCCGCCTGCCTATGCAGGCGACACGGGTACGTGCCCCAGTCCGGGAAGATCCCACATGCCGCGGAGCGACTGGGTCCGTGAGCCATGGCCGCTGAGCCTGCGTGTCCAGAGCCTGTGCTCCACAACGGGAGAGGCCACAACAGTGAGGGGCCTGCGTACCGTGAGAAAAAAAAAAAAAAGAATACCTCTCCACAACATTGTAAATCAACTATACTTCAATAAAATTAAAAAGACAAAAAACCTGCAATGTCTGTGAAGCACAGTACAGCAAAGTACAGTAAAGTGAGATGTGCTTCTATACATAAAAAAAAATAATAACCTCTTCTTAGTTGTTTCTGAAACAATTGAAAAGAGAGGGAAATTCACACAGTCAGACAGATGGAGATAGGAATATTACTTTTATTACCAATAAAGGTGCTTGACAATTGTGGCCTTGATCTGCAGCCAAATAAGCTCCCTAACTTTCACATCTAGAACAGACAGGCTTAGGGCCTAATCACTAGCAAGAGCTGTCACGGGGCCCTTCCCTGCAGGGCAGGCCCTGTGCTTCTTGGGATGGAACAGATCAGAATGCATGCTGCCTTCTGCAGACAGGGGAATGGAAGTCTCTTCAACAGCTTTATGGAGTGATTTCGCACGTCTTCTCGACAGACTTACTTAATTTGATCCTAGTATCTATTTCATCATATTTGTGAAATTTGCTGTTGATTCAATGGACATGTAAGTTGCACTATGCATTTGATAAATATTTTCATCAAGAATTAGCCCAGTTTGTCTTAGCAATATTATAATATGCACCATGGTGAAGTATTTAGTTGCCTTCTACTATTTGCTTTCAAGTAATCAGAAATAAAAAGTTTGGGGGAATATGCTAAGGATACTGTATGCTTTTCATTTATTCACATGGTATTG